GGGCCTGGACCCCCGGGTCTGAGGGAGGAGGGGCTGGGGCCGGGAGCCACTACTTGCTCTCTGAGACCTTAGCTGAGCTCCCTGCCCCCCTCCCAGTATGGGGGGACCCAGTACAGCCTCGTGGTGTTCAACACGGTGGACTGCGCTCCCGAGTCCTACGTACAGTGTCACGCTCCCACCAGCAGCGCCTATGAGTTCGTCACCTGGCTCGATGGCATTAAGTGAGCTTTCCCCTGTGCTTGGGGTGGGGTGGGGGGCCCTGTGAGGGGCCGTGGGTGGATGGAGGCCGGGGTCACCCCGGGTGGGTGAAGGGCCTGGGGTTGGCGGGAGCGGGGGATTGTGTTTTTGTTCATCAGTCACTTCTGTGATGGGCTCTGTGTGCTCCGCGGTGTTGCCATTGGGTTGGGAGGTAGAAACGCCTGCTCCAGGCGGCCTTGAGCTCAGCACCGCCTTGGTCCTCCATGCGTGATTCCCCACTTTCTGTCCGCGGTTCCTCATCTCTACCCCAGTCCCCCTTTTCCAGGGCTCACTGAGGCCTGGGGGCAGCGGGCAGGGGGCCGGGCCTGGACGGATCCCTTTGCCCGGCATGTCGTTAGTTAACGTTGCAGACTCTTGCAGGTGCACACAGCCTGGAGCCAGATCACCCAGACCCAGACCCAGGGCCCCGGTCCTCTCTGTGCCCAATATAACTTACCCTTCAGGGGGGGGGTGTGCACTAATCAGACAGACGGTTCCTGACTTAAGATTTTTCCAACTTTGTGATGGTGCACAAGCGATAGGCATTCAATGCAAACCGGCCAGGTAAAGCTCTGTGTCCGGGAGGTTAAATGCATTTTGTTTTTTGTTGTTTTTAAATATATTTTATTGATTTTTTTTTTTACAGAGAGGAAGGGAGAGGGATAGAGAGTTAGAAACATCGATGAGAGAGAAACATTGATCAGCTGCCTCCTGCACACCCCCTACTGGGGATGTGCCCGCAACCAAGGTACATGCCCTTGACCCGAATCGAACCCGGGACCCTTCAGTCCGCAGGCCCACGCTCTATCCACTGAGCCAAACCGGTCATGGCGGTTAAATGCATTTTGAACTTGCGATATTTTCAGCTGATGATGGGTTTCCTTGGGTGTACGTTCAGGAGCATCTGTACTTGTATTCGTTAGTTGTCGTACTGCTTATCCGTTGACCCGTAAGAGGTTACCCCAAGACTCAGTGGCTTAAAAACAAGCATATATTATCTCATGCGGTTTCTGTAGGGATTCAGGAGTAGCTTAGCTGGGTAGCTCTTGCACAGGCTCTCTCTCATGATGGTGCAGTCACCAGAGGTTTGGTTGGTTCCCAGAGGATCATTTTCCGGGTGGCTCCTGCTGTGACTGTCGGCTGGAGGGCCCACCGCTCCTGGCTGTTCGCCACCAGGGCTCCCATCGGGGCTGCATGAGTGTCCGCCCAACATGGCAGCTGGCTTTCCTCAAACGGAGCCATCCACCAGGAAGAGCAAAGAGGAAGCCACAGGCTTTTTAAAAGCAAGTCTTGGAAGTCATACATCCTCACTTGTGCCGCGTTCCGTCTGATGTACAGTCAGCTGTAGTCAGTGTTTGAGGGGCGGGCATACTAAGGGGTGAGGAGCAGGAGGTGGCGATCACCGGGGGTCTGCCTGCCATGCCTTCATAGGGGTGCATTGGGGAGGAGATGAGAGTGATTTACAGAGAGGAAGGGAGAGGGATAGAGAGAAACATCGATGAGAGAGACACATCGATCAGCTGCCTCCTGCACACCCCCTACTGGGGATGTGCCCGCAACCAAGGTACATGCCCTTGGCCGGAATCGAACCTGGGACCCTACGGTCCGGAGGCCGATGCTCCATCCAGGGAGCCAAACCGGTTAGGGCATGAGTGGGTGACTTAAATCAGTGCCTGGCATGGATCCAGTGCTACCTGAGTGTTTGCTGTTACTTTGTGTCTCAGTTTCTTGGTTTGCAGGTGGATGGTGGTAGTTAGGATCCCAGTATTGTTGGGAGGATCACAGGAGCTGGTCTTTGTCCTGTGTGAAGTCAGGTCTGGTCAGTGGTCAGAGCCCTTTCATTCCGTTCCGTCAGCAAATGTTCGCTTTGTTCCGGGCCGTGTGCTGGCCTGGGTGCCGAAGGTTCCGTGGGCAGGTGACGCCTGCTTTTCCCTCGTGGCCATTAGAATTCGTGGTCGGGGGGGAGCAGGGTTTCTCCCCTCTGCGCTGTTGCTGCAGATCCTTGGCTTCTACCCACCCAGTGTCAGCAGCCACTTCCCTCCAAATGGTGACAGACCAGAATGTCTTCAGACACCGTCAAGTGTCCCTGCGGGTAAAACCAACCCCAGTTGGGAACAGCTGGGGTAGACTGTGGTTGATAAGACATGAACAGTGTTAAGTGGGGCTCCTTGGGGCCTGAGTCCAAGTCTGATGTCCCTCAGTTTCTAGCACCCAGCGCAGGAGGCCTGGCACAAAGGGGGCTGGAGGAAAGCCTGATTGAACAGTGGGTGAATGAACTACTGCCCAGAAGGCACTTCATACTCGCACTCTCCCTGGCAAACTGTATAGGCTTCCAGACCCACCTTCAGGCCCGCCCCTGATTCTGACGAGCCGCCAGCTGCTCCTTGTTTTGCCCCCATGACTTCAAGGTGCTCACTTGTCACAGCCCCACACCCACCTTTGGGTTGTGCATGTCCAGGACCCTGGGTGTTGGCTTCCAGCTGGGGCCTGGCACCCAAGAGGCCTGAGGAAACCTCGGCTGAATAAATGAGTGAGTGAAAGCTGTAGGGAGGACAGTCACCACAAAGCACATCTTCCGATGGGGGTTTAAGTATCAGGAAAAGCAGTCAGACCCCCTGAATTAAAAACTTCAAGGGCACGAGGAAGCTAAGAGAGAAATGTTTTCTTTATATATATAAATAGACATTTTTTATCAATTGATTCTTTTATTTTTAAGGCTTTATTGATTGATTGACTTTAGAGGGAGAGGAAGGGAGAGAGAGACACACTGATGTGTTGTTCCACTTTTTATTAAAAAAATGTTTTTATTGATTTCAGAGAGGAAGGGAGAGGGAGAGAGAGATAGAAACATCAATGATGAGAGAGAATCCTTGATTGGCTGCCTCCCGCACGCCCCCCTACTGGGGATCGAGCCTGCAACCCAGGCATGTGCCCTTGACTGGAATCGAACCCAAGACCCTTCAGTCCGCAGGCCGATGCTCTATCCACTGAGCCAAAACCAGTTAGGGCTGTTCATTTATGCATTCATTGGTTGGTTCTTGTATGTGCTCTGACTACGGCTCGAATCCACACCTTGTCACATGGGGATGATGCTCTGACCACCTGAGCTGCTAGGCCAGGGCCGGGCAGTGCTTTCTGAACACCTTCATCACAGAGCCACCTTCCCGTTCATCAGCTTAGAGTACACTGTATCTTTAAGCAACTGAGATTGCTTAGTGTGCTGTGTGCGCACTGCAGAACCCTCTCCGTTGGTGGATAAACATTTTAAGCTATTGTTTTACATTCACGGTCGTCACTGTTTTTATCAGTCCTGTGTAACCATCTGAATTCAGTTTCTGAGTTGT